TCCACTAGACAGTGCCCCATTGGGGACTCTGTGTGGAAGCTCCAACTCCACATTTCCCCCCTGCATTGCCCTAGTAGAGGTTCTTCATGATGGCTCCATCCCTGCAGCAGACTTCTGCCTGGACAACCAGGCATTTCTGTACAGCCTCTGAAATCTAGGTAGAGGTTCCCAAACCTCAACTCTTACCTTCTGTGCACATGCATGCTTAATACCATGTGGAAGTTGCCAACGTTTAGGGCCTGCACCCTCTGGAGCAGCAACCTGAGACTTATCTGAGGGCCTTTTAGCCATAACTGGAGCTAGAGTGGCTGGGATGCAGGGAGCAGTGTCCCAAGATTGCACAGGGCAGCAGGGCCCTGGGCCTGACCTATGAAACCATTTTCCCTCCTAGGCCTCTGGGCCTGGAGGGGAGGGGATGCTGTGAAGGTCTCTGAAATGCCTTTGAGGTGTTTTCCTCATTGTCTTGGCTATTAACATTTGGCTCCTCTTTACTTACGCAAATTTCTGCAGCTGACTTTAATTCCTTCCAATAAAATGGGTTTTACTTTTCTACCACATTATCAGGCTGCAAATTTTCCAAACTTTTATGCTCAGCTTCCCTTTTAAATGTAAGTTCCAGTTGTAGATAATCTCTTTGCTCGTGCATATGAGCATATGCTGTTAGAAGCAGCCAAATCATGTCTTGAATGCTTTGCTGCTTAGAAACTTCTTCTGCCAGATACCCTAATCTCTCTCAAGTTTAACGTTCCACAGATCTCTAGGGCAGGGACATAATGCTGCCAGTCACTTTGCAAAAGCATAGTAAGAGTGACCTTTATTTTGGTTCCCAATAAGTTCCTCATCTGCATCTGAGACCACCTCAGCCTGGACTTCATTGTCCATGTCACTATCAGCACTTTGGTCACAACAATTTAACATGTCTGTGGAAAGTTCCAAACTTTCCCTCATCTTCCTGTCTTCTGAGCTTTCCAAACTGTTCCAACTTCTACCTGTTACTCAGTTCCAAAGTTGCTTCCACATTTTCAGCTATCTTTACAGCAGTGCCTCACTCCTAATTAGTACTGCTAGGTACTAATTTTCTGTATTAGTCCATTCTCACATTGCTGTAAAGAACTACCTGAGACTGGGTAATTTATAAAGCAAACAGGTTTAATTGGCCCACAGTTCTACAGGTATACAGGAAGCATGGCTGAGGAGGTCTCAGGAAACTTACAATCATGGTGGAAAGCAAAGAGGAAGGAGTCACATCTTATATGGCCAGAGCAGAAGGAAAGAGAGTTAGGAGTGGGGGTGTCACACACTTTTAAAGAACAAGATCTCATGAGAACTCATGCACTATCACGAGAACACACTCACCATCATGAACCCAGCAAAGGGGAAGTCTGCCCCCATGATCCAATCACCTCTCACCAGGCCCCTCCTCCAACATTGGGCATTACAATTAGACATGAGATTTGGGCCGGAGCACAACTTTAAACCATATCAATTAATCAGAAGCATGAGCCATTTATTTTCCCAGTCCAGGCCCAAGATGGCTATGTGGTGTGTGGGACTCACAGATCTGCCTAGACATAGCCTACTTGGTTCCAATGGTCGCATGCAGGGGACAATTTTGTGTTTTAATGATGTGAAAAATGACATCAATAAATTTAATGAAAAGATTATTCCCATGTTTATAGAATCAACAATGGCTAATGGAATCATTTAAACATCTCAGTCATATTCCTAGTACATTTTATACAGAAGTTGATATGCTGTAGGTGGTATTCAGAAATCTGGGGATTTGAGGTTTGTGAGCATCACTTGTGATTAGTGCCAAAGATAAACAGGATGTGATTTTTTTTACAAGAAGTATGACCATTATCTAATTCTTCTAGGGTTTGGTAGAAGGGCAAGAGGGCTGCTCTTCTGTCCTGTTTTTCTATGCTATAAACCAGTATTTTCCAAACTATTCCTCAGTACATTATTTCCATGAGCACTTAATAGTGTGATGCTAAAAAAGCATTCCCCAGTGAAATGCATGTGGTGAACTCTGACTTTTCTTTCTATAAACCAGGCTTCCTGTGAAATACAAACTGTAGATTGCTCTGCTCATACCACTGATGAGGCTGCTGCTTTATCCATGCTAATGAAGACACAACTCTCATGAGATTACATTTTTATTGGCTTCTTAGGCACTTAAAATGTACAGATTATGGCTCTGTTGGGGTTATTTCTCCAGAACATTAACCTCACCAATTACAAGTAAATTTTCCCATCATTTCTTCTTTTTCACAGTTTTATTTTCTGAGACTTAGAAAACTAGATGCCTTCCACCTACTGATGACAGCCTCAGTTCACCTGTCCAACCTTATCCCTTGTTGCTTCCATTCTTTTCCTTCTACTTCGGTTGAGTCTTTTGAATTCCTCAGTACTTCCCTAAATGTTTTGACCTTTTCTATTGACCATACCCTGCTCTGCCACACCCCTCATTCTCTGTACGAAGGGTACTGATGTGTATGGGCTGTGCTGAATGCCGTCTCATTCATTCAGCTGTCAAACATTTAGTACCTATTTTGAGTTGTGCATTGTTGTAGTATCTTAGTGAAAGGATTAGTGAATGAATGGTTTTATTCATCCCTCAGAGTTGGAAATATCTGTTAAATAATGCATGGCTAGGCATGTTTATTTTTCAGGAAGAAAAGTGCTCTATAAATCAGAGGACTATTATAATATTTACATGTTGGTCTCATGAAAAATGATGCAAGCAGTTTTCACTATAATATGAATCCTGATAATTTGCATTTATATAGCACATTGTTGGCACAACAACTTTGTCCCTTTGAGCAGCTTCATTTAAAGTGGTTTTGCTTTAATTATCTCTCACAGAGCAGCTATAAAAATGATTGTAAAATAATTTGCAAGTGTATGTGTTATTCATAAATGGTAAATAACAGTTAAATTGTAAAGACAATGCAATAGAATCTGACATTTCTCAGGATAATATTTTAGTTGCTCACCTGATTGATGCAGTCAACTCTGAATCATTAACATCTGGATTAGGACAGCTGTGTGTCTGGGGAAGGAAGAAGGAGTGTGCACTTAACTTAGCAGCATCCCTTGTTTTACCCTTTGATTCTTTTCTGTGTCTCACAAGATATTCACAAAGCATGTATGTGTTCACAGGCTAACAGTGTGAGTTCAAAGGTGTAAGTTGTTTCAAATATTAACTAATAAATGAACACTCCATAGATATCTGAACAGTTCATTCTATCCTTCATCAATAGAATTGGTCTACTCTTTGCAAAGCACTGTGAATGGCACATTGGAAACACCAATCAGTGAGTCAGTTATGATTTTACAGCATCAATGCAACAAAGTTAGTCCCTGGTGATATTTACATAATCTCTTTTCTCCTCCAGTGCTCTGGAGGTGACATCTGTATTCACCATTACTGCAGAGTGAAATTTAGGTCTCCCAACCTCTACTCACTTTGAGTGTAGTTGCTCTGTGGTTTCTTCATGGAGTCTGTGGTTTTGTTTCCAACCCATTATTGATTCTTCTAAAGACTGGTTGAGGAGCAAGGCAGGAGTGGTTATCAGTCCTACAGGTGAAGAGCTTATAAGTTACGGTATCAATGGCTTATTCAAAGTCACACAAAATAAACAGGATATCGAACTTGAATTCAGATTTCTAGAAATGAGGGAGGGAAGGGCGCTTACAAATATGGGATATATCTATAATATGATGTCCTCTACGTCACATACTTTGCAACTGAAAAAATTAAAACTGGAAATACAGATGGTCGTTAACTTAAAATGACTCAACTTTATCATGTTTCAAAAGTCACATGCATTCAGTAGAAACGTAATTCAAGTACCCATACAACAATTCTGTTTTTCCCTTCTACTACAATATTCAATAAATCACATGAAATATTCAACACTTTATTATAAAATAGGCTTTGTGTTTGTATTAGTCCATTCTCATGCTGCTATAAGGACATACCCAAGACTGTGTAATTTATAAAAGAAAGAGGTTTAATTGACTCACAGTTCCCCAGGGCTGGGGAGGCATCAGAAAACTTACAACCATGGCAGAAGGGGAGCAAACATGCCTTTATTCACAAGGTGGCAGAAAAGAGAAGAATGAGTGCCCAGGGTTCAAGTGCTGGAAGGTGGACCGGAAGGAAGGGAACGCCACTGGGGTGACTCTGCTGGAAGCTTTGGACTCCATCCACCTGCCCACGTGCAGGATTGACAATCCCCCAAGGCTGCCCCTGCAAGCTGTGTACAAGATGGGAGGTGACCGAGGGCTGAGTGGGGCTGAGGGTAGACTACTCCGTTAGGGATTCTGGAGTTGATCCTTAATTGAATCCCCTAGGGAGTCCACGGGCGTATGATTGCCAGGGTTCAAATCCTGACTCCACCTCTTCCTTGAGCAAGGATGAAGTGGAAAAGCACCTAGCATTTCCAAGCTATCCAGTACACAATTTTAAACAGTCAGAGATCCATCTAGTGCTTTCTACCATTCCATACGTGGTCCTTTGTCCTTGAACTCAAAAGCCAAGGGGCCTCCCAGGAAGTCAGTTCTCACTGGGTGTGTCTTGGACTGACTTCCCTTCCTGGATTGAACAGGCATTGGCACTGTGCTGGTGGGCCATGTGGAGAGTGGCTTTTTGAAATTTGGGATAGTGGTCACATTTGCCCCTAGCAATGTCACTACTGGGGTTAAATCTGTGGAGATGCACCATGAGGCCCTGGCGGAAGCCCTGCCAGTTAACAGTGTAGGATTTTGTGTGAAGAATGTGTCTGTGAAGGACGTTTGGCGGGTGAATGAGGCTGGAGACAGCAGAAACGACCTCTCCCATAGAGGCTGACAGTTTTGTGGCACAGGTAAGCCCCAGGGAGCAAAGGGTCTTGGCCTGGTGCAGGAGGGAGTGCTTCAGGATTAGTCTTGATTTACACTGAGGCCACAGGTTTTGCTGCCATCTGTCTAATTCCACCCTGCTGCCCCACCAGGTGATTGTCCTGAACCACTCTGGGCAGATCCACGCTGGCTACTCCCCTGTGCTGGACTGTCATACAGCCCACGTCTCCTGCAAGTTTGCCCAACGGAGGGAAAAGATTGACCGGCACTCTGTCAAGAAACTGGAGGAGAACCTCAAGGCTCTGAAGGTAGGGGATGCAGCCATTGTGCAGATGGTCCCTGGCAAGGCCATGTGTGTGGAGACCTTCTCTGAATACCCACCTCTAGGTGAGCCAGGTATAGTGCTACTAAGTCATGACAGGAAAGCACAGTCTCCATTCTGTAACTGAGGGCAAGGCAGCGGCTAAGGAGCATTTCCTTCTGGGCCAGTTTCCAGGCATGTCATTCTTCCATTTCTCTTCCAGGCTGTTTTACAGTGTGGGACATGAGACAAGCAGAAGCTGTTAGAGTCATCAAGGCTGTGGACAAGAAGTCCTCCACTGCTGGCAAGGTCACCAAGTCTGCAGCAAAAGCCAGCAAGAAATGAAGCCCACCCTCCTCTCTGTAGTGTCCTCAGCTCCCCCTTCCCCCCAATAACTAAACATTCAATGAGTGTATGTATTTCCTAAATAAAGTGGATAAAACTTGACTAGCTGTCCTGGTTTCTTTCAAAGAAGAAAGCATAGGTAGATGGAGAACTTCTAGGCAAGATAATTATGATTTAAAGCCCATAGGCTACCCAGGGTCATAAAACAATTCAGGGTTATCTAGCTCATTCTCATAGCCAGGGTATCATTCCAACCTCTTTCCCATTTCCTTCCCTCTGTGGCCTCTCCTCCCTGTAAAACTGGTGGATGTTTTGAGGTGTGAAAAGCATACTCACAACAGCATTGGGGTAGGATCTTAGTGCCAATAGATTGGTCCAACTCTACTGTATGATTCTTGGTGTAACCATCGTTCAGTGCTGAAGGTTATTCAGCTAATACAGTCAGGTGAAGACTCTAACTAGTTTGTTTAGAACTTGGGTTCAGAAGCTGATGCCCAACATGTTAAATTTAAGTTAGGTTAATATGCTTAGAGGGTAAGGAATGAATGGATGGAGTTCTTACAGCCTTTGATCTTGTTGTTGTCAATTGATGGGTGCAACAGGATAACTTTTCATGGAGCTTAATCAACTAAATTATGTGCTCATTCAGCATATCCTGGGAGACAGGACCCAGGGTCTGCCTGCAATGTGTTCTTCACCCATTCGTCCATCAAATATTGGCACTTACCATGTGCCAGATGCTGTTCTGACCCCATGTACTTACTGAGTGGGTGGACTCAGAAGGCAAATATCAGGTGGTAGTACATGAAGAAAATAAGCAAAGGAAATAGTAGAGATGGGGAGCAGACCATGAAGAATGGAAAGTACGGAGACCAATGGAGTCTACAGTAATAATCCAAGCAAGATGATGACTTGGACCAGAGGAGTAGTCACGAAGTTAAATGGTGAGAGTTGGTTTTGAATATATTTTTTAGGTGGAGCTGACAGAAATCTCTAAATATTGGATGCGGGGTATGAGGAAGGAAAGTCAGGGGTGACATCCAGGTCTTTGGCCTGAGGAATTAGAAGAATGGAGCATGTCTGATGAGATGTGGGGATAGATTGCCTCTTATTAGAGATGCTGGGGCAGTTAGAAATGGTCTGGATTAAAGGGAAGAGGTCCAGGATGACATAATCAGGGGAGCAATTCTACATGGAAACAGTATCCTTTGTTCCTAAGCATCTGCTAGGAGGTGCTAGGATGTGCACATAGATTCTGTTCCACCTGAAAAGGGAAATTAATCAACTGCATGGTTGTGATCTGTTTTATGATTGGAAAAACCATTAAGCTTCAAACATTGAGAATGCTGACTATGAAAATGGTTTTGTTTCCAGGAGGACTGTTGGAGTCCTTTCTGGGTCAGATTTGGAATGCCATCATTTCCTGCCCATTCCTAAGATTCTGGTGTCCCAGGGTTAGACTAGGAGTGCAGTGGGCTATTTTTCTCACTGATCAATAACAATAACATTACCTGTTCCTGTCTGTCATGTTGCTTCCCTCTCAAGTGCAAATCTCCAGGGAAGCCTGAGACCCAGCTCAAACCTAGAAATAATAGCAGGATGACATATCAGAGCTGTCATCAGGCCAGACATCAAGAAGCTCACCTATCTTCAGCGCTGGGAAGCCTGTCAAAATTCCAGCTGTTGTCAGCATGAATTGGTGCCTAATGGGACCTGGACCAAGCTTTGGAACACCTCAAGCCTGTCAATGTCATCAAAGGCCATTCAGCCTGCACGGGAGAGCCAGGCAGGTGCAGGAGATGTGCAGGGACAGAATGCAGAATGCTCACCTGTTGTATTCCTCTTCTTCCCGGGACTGTGCAGTACAGTCTTTTTTGTCCAGAACACTTTATTTTGTCTTCTACAAATGACAGCTGCAGCTTTGCTAAAAATGACTGGGGAACTAAACATATAACCTATCAGTGTTTGGGTCTCTAATATGCACTCAATGAACATTTACTCAGTAGGGAATGAATGCCACATATATGTGCTAAAGCAAGTGAATGACTGTCAGTTTACACTTAGTTCTCAAGAATAATCATAGTTTTAGTGCTTGTTTCTTAAGGATATCAGAAAAATTTAATTTAAAAGGAAAACTAAAATTATTTGGGTTAATCCTCCAAGTGTCATATTATTTTTAACATTATTTTAATTTAATTAATTTTTATTTATAGATAGGGGGGTCTCGTTTCATTGCTCAGGGGCTGGTCTCAAACTCCAGGATTCAAGTGATTCTCCCACCTCAGCCTCCCAAAGTGCTGGGATTACAAGCATGAGACACTGTACCTGGCCCAAGTGTCATACTCGCTACTCAGTCATTTCTCACTGCTCAGGAAGAAGGGGGAACCTCAAAACACCTAGTAGATTGAACGTAACAGAAAATACTGGTAAGTGGGGAATGTCATCTCATTAGAAACTCCAAGAACACTTCTGTGCAGCACTACAAGCATAGCGCCACAGAACTGTCCAAAGTTTTGTACCAAACTATAGCTACAGCAATGTACACCAGGATGTAAGAGCTCTGACCTTTTATCTGAGAAAAAGCTTTGTAGTCATCTTAGGCCACAAGGCCAGTGCCTGCTGGTCCAGGGCCCCTTTGTAATGTTGGAAATGGACATAAGCCATACTGACCAGTTACAATTATTGGTTCTTTTCTGACAGATATTGGAAGCCATCACTTGCTAGATCTTCCTCACCCCCTCCCTGCCACCAGGTAGCACAATGAAACAAGTCTCAGACTGAATTAGCAGGTACAAAACATGTCTGTTGTGTGGTTTGAAGTCTTGGCATCGTAGCCTTTCAGTCTCTGATGAGCATTTTGCATGCAGGTGTGACAGGATCCTGGCAGCAGGCTTCAGCTGGTCTTCGGGTGGGGACAATCATCTGGAAATGGCTCAGCAGGATGGAGTCCTTAGGCCTTGGCTGCCAGTTCAAAGGGTCAGGGCTGCTGGGCTCACCTGTTTATCCACAGAGGTGCCTGTACAATAGTTCTAGTTAATCTACAGGTCTTGAACTCTGCTCATTTTACCAATAGAAAATATTTTCTAATATCCAATATGACAAACAACAAACCTTCTGGTGCTGACTGGAGATAAATAAGGTTGAGCTTGTCTCAGGCTTGTGGTAATAAAGCTCCTGGAGTGGGGGCTTCTGATTACTGTCTCACAAGCTACATAACCACCTCTAGAGTGTGTGTTCCCAATGATGGTTCTTCAAATGTTAAACAGCCACCCCTACTGTCTAGAATAAAACTATCTTGCAAACCACATATCTCATGGGGACACTGCATTGGAAGTCCTTGGATGCACTCTTCTTTGAGAGGTCACGCTGCCCCCGACACAGCCAGCCCGCTTCCCAGAAGCCCAGATTTACTTTCCTGGCAGGAGCTTCCCTGCCGGTCACGGGTCAGCAGTGGGGGAGCTCCCTGGCTCTCCTCCCATCACCCTTTCTGGTGAAAGCCTGCTGAGCCCTATGGTTTCCTCTCTTCCCAGCAGCCACTGGCTACAGAGCTTACCTGAATTATCTCAGACCAAAGAGAAAACGCTCTGGCTCTCAGATTTTTGTTTGTCTCTGTCAGACTCCAGAGCTCGAACAAAGTTCCTTTCTGGTTGACTCTGAACCCATCTCCTTAAGCCGGTTTGGGAGGCTGTGCAGCTCACACCTGACTCCCTGGGGTGGTCTATGCCTGTGTGAAGGGACCTTGCCCTGGGAAGACACCCAGACCTCACCAGCGCCAGCCACTTGGCACCCCAGGCTAGCGCTTATGGCTCCTGATCCTTCAGACTCACAGAGGACACCTGGCTTACTTACTCCACCCAACTAAAGCCAGGAGGATGGGGTGTCACCTATCCATTCATTCATTCACTTCCTCTTTTACCGGATTTCACTGATGAAAACTGTGGTTGAGCTGGGTTGAACACTGTCTTGCCTACCCAGATCTCACAGTCTGGCAAAGAAGACAAATACATATTCTGAAAATTACAGTGTGATATGAGAAATGCTGTGATAGGGCTAACTTCAGGAGGCTATGGAAGAACATAAGAGGGGCAACAATGAAGCTTGAGGAATCATAGAAAACTGATTCTAGAGGTAAAAAAGACTCTAAAAGAACATGTACAGTGGCCCATACAGGACTCAGCAGGGAGGCCAGTGTGGCTGACTCTGGCTGAAGATTGGCAACACGAACAGAAGGCCAAGTTCTTTGTTTTATTTTATTTTATTTATTTATTTATTTTGAGACAAAGTCTCACTCTGTCTCCAGGGCTGGAGTGCAGGGGCATGATCTCGGCTCACTGCAACCTCCACCTCCAGGGTTCAAGCGATTCTCCTGCCTCAGCCTCCCTAGTAGCTGGGATTACAGGTGCCCGCCACTGTGCCCAGCTAATTTTTGTATTTTTTTTTGGTAGAGACAGGGTTTCACCATGTGGGCCCGGCTGGTCTCGAACTCCTGACCTCGTGATTCTCCCACCTCGGCCTCCCAAAGTGCTTAGATTACAGGTGTGAACCACCGCACCCAGCCAAGTTCCTGAAGGCCCTTGATGCCAAGCTAGGGAATCTAGGCTTAGTGCTGAGGGCAGAGAGGAGTCATAGGGTGCTCAAGTGGGTGCCTTTCCTTTAAATGAGAAGTGCAGGCTTTGAGCTTTCTCAGAAACTTAACTTGGGCCCTTATGCAAAAAGAACATCAAGACTAGACCTCACCTGACAGCTCTATTGGCTGCCAGGGTACCTCTGTCCTCTTTCATTAGGCCTCAGAAGACCCATAATGATGGCATCAGTTTCACTGGTATAGAAATAAATGAGCAATAGTCTACCATCTGAGGTGGTCCCGTTTCTGGGTAGAAGCTAAATTGAAATTCTAAAATGACTCTATTGCCATTCTTCTGAATGCACTTGACTTCTTTTTGTCATATTAAACCAAGTTCCAGACACTGGAAACAGAAATCCCAGCTGCTGTTGCCCATTCATTGAACAATTGGTATTTTGGCCTTGTAGGGAGACACACCAGCTTATGTTTACAGAGCTGTTTACATTTG